GGAGAGGGAGAAGCAGGGTCTGCACTGAGCAGGGAGCCCGATGCAGGACTCGATCCCAGGACCCTGGGATTATGACCTGAGCCGAAGGCAGACGCTTAACCATCTGAGCCACCCAGGCGCCCAATATCCAGCATTTATTGAGCTCTCGCTCTGTGCCAGGCACTGTGCTAACCAACACTTTAAAGGCTTCCGATCTTGTGTAGTCCTCATAACAACTCATAAATAGGACTCTTATTATTCCCATTTAACAGATGGGTAAAATGAGGCTTAGAGAGTGGAACTTGCCCGATGTTGCACAGCCAGGAAGTACCAGGGCTCCTGTTCTGAAACACTGCACGTTACTCCCTCTGCACAGTTCAAATGCCACCTCCTTTCTGAAGTTGGAAATGATCGGATCTTTTACTAAATTAGCATAACACTTCAGTGTGCTTCATAGCCCTTGTGGTGGGTTCCTTGGGACTTTGCTTACCCTGCCTCCCGGTCGTTAGCTAATTGGCTGCCTGTACTCAGTGCCAGGACACACAGGCTTTGGGGGAGGGCTCAGTGGGTGCCACAGAGGCCTTGAAGAAGTAGGAAGTGCCCAGTAAGTCCCTGTTCGGGTTCATACGAACCACGCTCCGTCAGTCACATCAACTTTTCTTCCCACTCTCGGCAAGAGGGAAGAGGACTTTCTTCCTGATTCTTTGGCTGGGGGAAGAGATCAGTAAAGGCTCCTTGCAGGCCCCCTGAACCCAGGGATACCTCTCAGGACACCTCTACCCTGTCCCTTCCTTCCCTCCTCTTCTCCCTCCTTTCCCTTCCCTCCTCCTCTCCAGGTCTGGCTCCTTCCCTGAGGTCCCTTTCTCATCTACAGCTGTATTTCGCCTACCATCATGCTAGAAAAATGCCTGCGCATAGTTCATATACCCCCACGTGCTTGTGATTTCCATATGTCAATTTGCATAGCATCTGTGTGACTGCGTACACCGAGGGTCTGCTTCTCTGACCACCATATCTGGGACCTGCTGCTTCTCTTTCCATGTGCAGAGTTACCTTTCTTCTCTGGGCTTTGGTTTTCCAGAAGCCCGGGGTTGCGGGTGGGTGGGGGGTGGTGGTGGTGGCATGTGACTAATGGTTTCCAAGGGCCTTCTAGTTCCAGCAGGCTAGGATTCTGGGGCCCTGGGGATGAAGTGGGGGCAGAGCTCTTGGGGATGGCGAACCACTGAGCAGAGGTGGGACCTTGAAGGTTCACAGTGGGAAGCACAGGATTCCAGACAGGGGGTGGGAGGATGGGAGGGTGAGGGGGTGGGGGTGGGGAGAGGGTGACAGACATTACCTCACCCTCATCCCTGGACTCATTCATTCAATAAATATTGAGTGCTTCCTATCTGCCAAGAGAGGCGCTACATGCTAGGCAGGCACCTTCTTATTTACTCAGCACACCTTTAGGAGGAAGATACAGTTTTGGGACTCCTTTTATAGACGAGGTTCAGGGAGGTTACTGCAACTAGTAGATGGCAGAGTTAGGAGTTAGAACAGGTCTGCCAGACTCCAAAGCTGGAGCTTTTATTTATTTATTTTTTATTTTCAAAGATTTTATTTATTTATTTGAAAGAGAGAGCCAGAGACAGCGACAGAGTTATAGCAAGAGAGAGCACAAGCGGGGAGTGGGAGAGGTAGAAGTAGGCTCCCCGCTGAGCAGGGAGCCCAACGTGGGACTCCATCCCAGGCCCCGGGATCATGACCTGAGCCGAAGGCAGACGCTTAACCCACTGAGCCACCCAGGAGTCCCTAAAGCTGGTGCTTTTTTTTTTTTTTTAAAGATTTTATTTATTTATTTGAGAGAGAGAGAATGAGAGAGAACACATGAGAGGGGATAGGGTCGGAGGGCAAAGCAGACTCCCTGCCGAGCAGGGAGCCCGATGCGGGACTCGATCCAGGGACTCCAGGATCATGACCTGAGCCGAAGGCAGTCGCTTAACCAACTGAGCCATCCAGGCGCCCAAAGCTGGTGCTTTTAATCCTACCCTCCAGTGTCTGTGCTGAAGTCTCCCCTTCTCTTCTGTAATCATGTCACTCGAGGTAGAAGGAATGTAGACTATCATTCATATGAGGAACCCAGGTCCACAGGGGGAGGAACTTGCCCAGGGTCACGGGGCAAGTGGATAAGTCACAGCAGAGCAGAGACCTTTCTGTTCTCCCTGCTCCCTCCTTCATATGCTCTTCCAGAGTCTTAGCAGGTCAGGTGTGTTAGTGGCATGCAAATATGGGGCAACGGGCAAAGCTGGACAATCTCTATTCCTTCCCTCTCCGACTTGCTTGATGATCATTTCAATTAAATGAACTGAATGGGAGTGCAAAAGACCTCTTTATCCCTTCCTCGTTCCCAGAACTCAGAATCTCCATGAAACCAGCTTTTTGAGTTCTGGGCAGATGGGAGATCCCGGGGAAGGTGCCAACCCCTGGGCCTAATACTCCGTGTTCTCTGTTTGGCCTGGGAGAAGAAAAGCTGTGGGCAAGAGAAGAGAGATAGGAGGTTGCCTGGAGGTTAGAAAAGGAACAGAGGAAAGAAAGGGAAAAAGAAACAAGGAGGGGAAATTTCATTGCCTTTGGACTTCAAAAGAGGCCTATGCAAATGCAATGCAAATGACATGCAAATGAGAACTCCCTGCTTCCCTTACCCCCACCCTTTCTCAACAGCTGGAGGACTTTTTCAGAGAGTAGCCAAAACCTTACTCCAGGATACTGTAGTCCCCAAGCTGTGATCAACTCTGACTCTGCTCCAGGTCCTCCTGGTCTTCCTGGGGTGACATCTGATCCCCTTGGAAGTCACTAGCTCCCGAGGCCCCATTTCTACTTGAGCAGGCCCTCAGCTTCTTTTGCTTCAAGGACAGAAGCCTCCAGGAACCAGCCTCCCCTTTCAGACACACTGCTGGATGCACTATCTCCCATTGAGAGAAGGTGCTTAGGGGAGGGAGGTGGGCCCCTGGCCCTGTTCTCTGCCTCGGCAAAGAGAAGTGGCCTTCTTGGCTGTGGGCCCTGTTGCTCACTCTCATTTCCTGTCATGTCAGCTGGATTGAGTTGTCAGGGTTGGGAGAAGGGTGGGGAGGGAGGCAACCTGGAAGGCCACCAAACAACAAGTCCCTTCTAGCTCCTTCTATCTGCCAGATGGGCTGTAGTGCCCAGAGCGTGGGGGTACGGGGTTGGGGTCAGCTCCCTGCCTTGGGGCAACCACAGGGAATGGAATGGATCCCAGCTCAGGCTTCCCAAAAGAGCAGATGGAAGGAAAGTAGAGGCCAAGAAGAACTTGCAAGCCGCTTTTAAAATCACACCTCAGAGACAATCTGATGGCTCCATTGCCAGGAGGAGTATTGCAGAATGCGGGTGGGGGGGCTAGTGTCAGGTGACAAAGTGAGAGGTGCTCTGGGAACCAGGATAAAGCCACTGTTTCTGGGGAGTGGACCAGAGAGGACAAGGGAGTCAGGGCACTGAGCTATTCCCTGCCCCTGATATCCCTAATGTTGAGTCCCCATCCCCGGACACGCCCCCCCAATACCAAGCCTTCGCTCACCTCTACAGGGAGGAGTATACACATAAACTCACTGCTCACTTGCACTTGAACGTTCTGAAAAAAAGTAATGATACGGATTTGATTTTAAAACAGCATAACAACTATCTTCCAATGAGCTTTTTTGGTCTCGGGGACTGCATTGGGCCTGGGTCTGGCCACTCTGATGACACCTTCAGCAGAACCCTGCCTCAGTCCTTTCCGGACTCTCTGGGTCTACTTCAGCCCAGGTAAGCCTCCAGGTCCACCCGCTCGCTCGGGGCAAGTCTAAGGCCAGCGCGCCCTCTTGCGGTGATCGGGGGGCGTGTGCCCTGGGCTCGAGCATCCTCACTTGTAAGACTGGAGACATCTCACTGCTGTGGTACCCTGAGTGTCCCCTCCGTGGCTGGGGGGCTTATGGGTGAGGGCCCCAGTGCCAGGCATGGCGGAGATATTGAATCTTGGTTTCAGAGTGCTGTTGGGTCTTTGGTCCGTGCTCCCCATCAAATGCCAGACTTTGCCATGGAACCCCAGTTTGAGTCAGCCAGCCTTAGCCCAATCAATGCAGTGACAGGAGTCCTGGCCTTGTCTGGTGGCCATCCTGTTGCTGGACAGCTCTGCTGGTTAAAATATTCTACTTCCCACAGTGCCCTCTGGGGCTTCTGAGCTACACCCCGACATATAGAAGGTCAGCGGCCATTCCCCCATTCATCCATTCAGAGAGTGTAGTGAGTACCCACTGGTGCTGTGCGTTAAGCTAGGGGCTGGAAACGTATTGGAGACTGACCCTGTCCTCAGGAAGCTCACAGCCTGGTGATGCTCGCGGAGCGGGGAACAGGGAAGGCAAGTCCCTAATACTGGAGCATGTCCTCTAACTGAAAAATGGAGGGGTGCTATGGGGGCCTGCTGTGGAGCATGACCTACCGAAATCTGGGGGTGGGCACCAGGAAGAGCTTCTTCGAGGACCAGACTTCTGAGCTGGGACCCCCAGCAGAGGGGAAGGAAGTGGGAGCAGGAGTCAGCAGTACCAGCGAAGGCCGGCAGATGCGTGGGACGCCGGAGTCCCTGAAGCAGTGGAGACGACATCCCAGAGCGCCAGAAGCGGGAAAGCCCGGGTGAGGGAGGGCCTGATTGAGTGGGAGTAGTTCACTGGTGTCAGGAACAGACGTCTTCGTCTTGCTACTATGGATTGCAGCACAGCCTTGAGTCGAGGCAGCGAGGTTGGGAATTGCTGAGGAAGAGGACGTTGGCAAGAAGCGTGACTGAAGACACAGGGAGAAATAGGGCAGAGGTGGAGAGGGACCTGGGGATAAGGTGTTTGTTATTCTGTTTTTGAGGTGGGAAAGATTTAAATCCTCTCAGGGCTGATGGGAAGAAGGCAGGAAAGAGGAATGGGAGAGAGTGAGGGGACAGTTTCCCCAGGGAGGAGGGGGGGAGGGCTGGGATTCAGAGCCCTGGGGTCTGGAGAGAGGGGGGCACCTCCCGCACCATCACGGCAGGACGGGATCAGGAAAGGCCTGTGGGCATGCGGGCCCAGCAGAGATGGGGCGGTCTGTGCCCGCTTCCCATGACACAGGAGAGGGGGAGCCACGATTGGAGTGGGCCCTCATCCCTCCTCTCCCTGCTCAGGAGTCAGGACATTCCCTCAGCCCGACCCACAGCTGGAGCCACGGCCGAGGCGGGCAGTGGATCACCGCAGGGGAGGTGGACACCACACCCGCCGGGCCTGGGGCCTGAGGTAGCTTGTGATGTGCCTTCATTCCCTCGCTCCATCTGAACCCCACTCCCCGCCGAGGCCGGGCTCTTCTTCTCCAAGGAGAAGGGATGCACTGAGTCCCTGCCACGTGAGCCTGTGTTTTCCTTCACCTCCCTTTTGCTTTCTTCCTTCCCACTGTCCATTCTTCTGGGTCCCCAGCCCGGACTGCCATCTGAGCAGTCAGGGTCTCTGCGGGGAAACAGAATCAACGCAACACGAGGAACGCCTTTAATGAAGGTGCTGCTGATTCACGGAGGTGCGAGCAGGATTAAGGGAACCAGGGACTCGGGACGCTGAGAGGCTGGGGCTGAAGAGGCAGGAGGAGGAAATCGTGTCCTAGGAGCCCAAGGAGGTCTGGAGCTTGGAGGAAGGAAGCCAGTGCAGAGGTGTGGTCCAGAAGCAGCAAGGAGCAGGGATATATGCCTGGAAATTCCTCTCGTCCTGCCCTCTGATCTCTGGTGCTTCTCACTGGCTGAGCCCGAGGTAAAGGGGCCCAGGTGAGACCGATCCACAGGTTGGTGTCCTGGGTCACAGAGCAGAGCAGAGGAGTGTAGGGAATGAATGGGGGGGGGGGCAAACCGGAACAACCAGCAGGGCTACCTACCTGTTACCTGGCTTCAGTCAATAGTTGAGATCTGAGAGGAAACCCCAGAATGCTTTATTTAATGTTTCTCAAGGTCAAAATGGCCAACACCGTACACTAAGATCAAGTGATAACAGGTGTGATGGTTCATTTCCCATGTCAGTTTGACTAGGCCATGGTGCCCAGTTGTTTGGTCTAACACGAGTCCAGATGCTGCTGTGAAGGTATTTTTGTGGATGTGATTAACATCTACAATCAGTTGGCTTTAGAGAGATTGATTGCCCTTGATAATGTGGGTGGGCCTCATCCAATCAGTTGAAGACATTGATAGCAAAAAGTGAGGTTTCCCCAAGAAGGAATTCTGCTTCAAGATTGTAACAGAAATCCTGTCTGAATTTCCAGACAATTGACCTGCCCTGCAGATTTCAGACTCAGGACGGCAACATCCACTTTTGCCTAAGCTGCCAGCATTTTGGAGTTTCTAGACCCCACAATCACGTGAATTAATTCCTTACTATAAATCTCTCTCTCTGTGTATCCTATTGGTTCTCTTTCTCTAGAGAACCCCGACTGATGCAGCAGGAATGTGGGGAAACGGACCTCTCATGCACTTGCTGGTGAGGGTGTAAATTGGGACCGCCCCATGTGGAGGGCAGTTCGTCAGTCTCTACCAAGTACTGGGCTTTGCAGCGCTCCGTGTTTAGCATTTCTCTACAGCATGGCTTGGAAGAGCCAGTCACGGACAATTCGATTGTCCACCCGTGCCACATGCCTAACAATACGAGGTAGAATGCCAGCCCGCAAGGACACACTGATCGCCGGGTCTGGAAGCCCTTCGAGGCGGCCGCCTCCTCGCAGATGAGGAACTGGGGGCTGGTGACGGGCGTGACGTACCCCAGATTGCACACAGCTCAGACGAGGCCGGTATCCCCATTCCTCACAGGCATCGTTACCCTCAAGCTTTGCTTCTTGGGAGAGGTCCTTGCCCTATTTTTTCCAGGCTCCTTGGTGGCTCAAATCACCACATCTAGGTTCCAGGACAAGACTTTCATTGACTAAGGTTGCAGAGAGAGGAGCCTGAAGAAAACCCATGGAACATACAGCAAGGCCCAGCCCAGGCTGGGGTGATCCTGCCAGGGAGCGCCTGGTACCACTTGTGGTTCTCTGGCTTGAAGAGGCTCCCATGAGACCCAGGGTCCTGGCCTCCCACCCGGAGCCCTGCTTACCTTGGCCAAAGGGACCAAGCAGGAGCCTGCTCCTGCCGACTCCAGTCGCAGGGGACCGGTGTGCGTACCCCCATATATTCAGTGCTTGCTACTGCAGGACTGCCCCCCCAGTGGGGGCTGCACACCTCATACTGCGCCCCCTCTCCCCACCCCGCGGGTGGGGTGAGCTGTGCTCTCTAGGGTTCTAGGGGGCCAGAGTGATAAACCCATTAGGGTTAGTAGGTATGTGTGGAGTAAGAAGGCTGAGGGTTGGATCCCAAGGGTGCTCTAACTAGCTGTCTGACCTTAGGCAAGTCACATAATTTTACTGGTGAGCCACATCCATAAAGTGTCACAGAACTGCTGCTACAAACGAGCCGACGAGCTACTTGATAGGAAGGCGCTTCGTCAACTCGGAAGCACCAGAGAAATGAGCGTTCCTTGTAGATACGTTACCTCCCCCGAGGGTTTTCACAGTGCAAAAAGGCCTCCTTAGGAAAGTAAAGCCTTATCTGGGTGTTTCTCAAATAGCTGACCCTGGACATGTATTTAATGAGCTGCGCTCCTGAGTGATTCTGAGGTACACAGAACCCTGAGACCCTTGCCAGACAAGTGACTGTGGTGGTGGCATTGGAGGGACCTGAGAGCGAGGGGGTGGGCAGGGAGGGGGGAGGGTCGCTTGGAATGGGCGGGAGTGTGGGCTTTGCCTGAGTGTGACATCAGCCTGAAGTTTCAGGGAATCTTAATTCTCATCCCCATGCCCTAAGACCAGGCAGGGTAGTCTGTGGTGACAGGGTCCAGAAGCCCCCTCATGGCAGGGACAGGCAGGCTGGGAGGTGCTAGTTATTCCCAAGGAAGATTAGAAAAGCACTCTTCAAAAAACAGCCTTATTTTTGGCCATTTGACAGTGAGTAAGAAAAGTATATGACCTGGGGAGCCCACCCCCAGCAAATAAGGCACATATAAGGTGGGAGGTGGGAGGTGCCTTCTCCAAGCAATCTCCTCTCTTTATACTGGGAGGTACTTATGATGTGAAGAGGCCTTCAAGAGGTCTGGTTTAGCTGTCTCAGGTTTACAGGTAAGGAAATGTCTGCTCTTTTCACTAACGATATTAATAACAGCGAATACAGTGAGCACTATGTGCTGGGCACTCCACGTGTATGAACCCACGTCAGTCTCACAGTTAAGCTCATTTTATAGCTGAGAGTGCTGAGGCACAGAGAGGTAAAGTAACTTGACCCAAGACTGCACAGGAAATAAGAAGCAAGGCCGGGATTTGAACCCTGGAAGTCTGGTTCTGGAGTTTATGCCTTATTTCTTACCTTAATCTAGCTTATGCTGATTACTGTCTGACTTGCTCATCTATGTATGCCTCTTCTTCTTAAGTGCAGTTTTGTCTTATCCTTCCTTAATATGCACCCCCCCCCTCCCCCATCCTCTCCCCTCCCAGCTGCCCAATGGCTGAGCACACAGCAGGTGCTTTAGAAGGTGTCCCAAGCCGGGTCACCGGTAGAGTAATGGAACCCTTCTGACACCAGGTGGCAGCATTGGCCAAGAGTTCTCGCAGAACTCTGCATTGGGCGCTGTCAGTCAAATAAAAATTTAAACTTTTATTTCTGGTACAAATGATAAATACTTTGCATTAAAAATCTGGAATTCAAGTTTTCCTCATACTTCATGCTCCCTCCCTGCCCCAGAGCCTTACAAAAATATTTCCGTCTGGGGGGGCACGCTGGTGCCCGCTGTCTCGACAGGGTCTGGGTCTGGGGGACAGAGTCTGGGTCTGGGGAAAGGCACGCATGGTTTCGTCTCAGGGCTGGGAGGTCCTCACCTGCCCCAGCGCTGGAGCCAGCGATGACAAGAATGCGCTGTGATCTGGTTGTAGGGGCTATGGCAACGTCCCCGACAGCCCCCTCTCTGGGGCAGGGGTCCCCTCGGTGTTGGGCATTCGATGGTGCAGAGGGGCCGGCTCCTACCAGACGGGCGAGTCGGGGGGTGGGGTGGTGTGGGGGCGGGGGGAGGTCGGCATCCCAGGCATAGACACCTTCTAGGGTCTAAGCCTTCAAAGAGTTAAGTAGAACTGCGGGCCATCACATTTTGGTTGCTTGAAAGAGAACACTTCAGGGGAGACTAAGGGGAGGAGGGCAAATCTGGAGAGCCCCCTTCCCTCTGTCCCCAGGGGAGGCACGGGCTGGGAGCGGGGGCTGCCTTCACGAGTTAACCCCTGCCGTGCCACACCCCTGTTCACAGTCTAGCATGATGGGGCCAGAGGCTCCGGGGAAGAAGGGAGAAGGGCAATAAGGCCTCAGTGGGGGAGGGGGTGCTGCCACCCCCTCTGGAGGCTGGGGGAAGCGCGGTGGACCCGGAGCAGCTACGTCGGGGACCACCCCCGGCGCCCCCGCCCCCGCTAGGGCTCCTCGTCCCAGAGACACAGCTGCTTCTGGGGCACATAGAAGTCGAAAGTGTAGCTCTTCTGGCAGCTGCGGATGCCGCACTTGTAGGGGGCTGGCCGGTCGTGGCTGTGGCAATATTTGAGCAGGCAGGGGTACCAGGCCAGGCTCAGGCCGTAGCGACAGACGCACGGCTTCCCGCCGTCCACCACCTGCCCGCAGCGCGGCGGCTCCGAGGCCCCGGGCAGAGCCTCAAACACGGAGCTGTCCACACCTGGCGGAGAGGGGCAAGGTCAGCGGCGGGGAGAGAGCGGGAGGCCCCCCCCTGCACCCCGCATGGCCTCTCGGGGCCTCCCGTCAACCCCAGCAGCTAAGTCTGGGCCCGGAGGGGTGGAGCCATCTCCCTGGGGTCACGGAGTAAGGACGGAGAGAGGAGGGAACCTGGGCTGTCTGACTTCAAGGTCTCCATGTGGCGCACGCTGCTGCCCGCGCTTAGACACCTCGCTGAACTAGAATGCGACGGGATGAGTGGGAAGTCAAGGGCGGCTGCTTCAAGGAGGTGGTTGCGAGGAGGGCCAGCACGAACGTGCCGGGATGTCAGCGTGGCCAGGGCACAGGCGGGGGTGCTGGAGGGAGATGGCAGTGACCTGGTCTCTGGCCACGGGAGGGCCCGGCCTCGGGGGTGGGGTGGGGACGGTATCAGACTTGCACCGCAGTGTGGGGTGCAGCTCACCGGGGAGCGCTGTGTGCGGAGGGCAGGACCACAGCTCTGTTGGCCACTGCGAAATCCAGGGGTGCCCTGGGAGGGGCAGGCACTTGCCTAGTGCTCAGCCGGCTGGACTGGTAACCGCGCCATCTCCCTGTGCCCTCTCCACGGAGGACCTGAGGACAGTCCTGGGAATGCCAGCAGTAAAGCCACACGGGCCGAAAGGCAGGGAGCACACAGAGATGGGGGGGCGCCCAGGGATCGTGGGGGAGACATGCTGGCACCAGGGGAGGCTCGGAAGAACGGAGAGGTGCTGACTTCCGAGGGGGGCGGCAGACACGGGTGGGTAGGAACGGGTGGCTTTGGGCCCCACCCGGACCCTGCTACCTGGGCCTCCCTCCACGAGGTCCCACCTGTGTTCTCACTAAGGGAAGGAACGAGGTAGGTGCTGCCCGGGTATCTCCCTCCAGGGGGCCTAGCAAGTCACAGTTCTGTGTGTCTACCCAGAAAGGGTCGCTCCTCTCACTGAAGAGGCACACAGGCACCCCTTCCTCCAGGAAGCCTGCCCTGACCAATCCCAGCCCGGTTGAGGGGTCCCTCCTCTGGTCTCCCGTATGTCATGACTCTCTATCACGGGCCCTGCGATGCTGCCATGCGTGACACCCCGCTGACCTTGCTCCAGCCAGAACCGGACGTCCTCCTGGCGGGTGTAGATGCTATCAGCGGCCTCGGCACACACATTGCGGAGATGGGGACTCAGCAGGCCCCCCTGGCTGAAGTTGACGGCGACGTCCATGTGCAAGTGCTCCGGGCCCCGCACCTCCTCCGCCTGCCTCACCGCCCGTGGGTTCTTCTGTGTGGAGAGGAAGAGCCGCTCCCACCTGGCCCCAGAATGTTCTCTGCCCATCCCTCGCCTGATGCCTGAGTGTCAGTCCAGCTGAGGCAGGTCGCCTGGAGCAGGCTGGCAGTCAAGGGCCACTAAGCATCGCCTCTAACTGGTGGAGAAACCAATGCTCAGGGCACAGCCAAACCTTTCTAGCTAGTCACTGGCTGATGTCTGGGGGCTGATGGGGAATTCTGACAGTGGCTGGGGGTGGTGCTGGGGGCAGCCAGGCAAGCAGTCCCAGGGCAGAGGACCTCTGGGGTCCTAGACTGTCCAACATGCAGGGAGCGGGGTCTCTGGGAAGGGCCTAGAGCAGGCCGAGCTGGAGAGTTTAGGGAACTTAGGTGAGGCTGGGGAGAGGCTCAGGGTCCAGGAAGGGACGGGGCACAGGCCAACAGGCTGAAGCATTCTGAATACCGCATGCATTAGCTCATTTAATTCCCAGAAATTCTCATTTCTCAATAAGAAAATAGAGGCTTTGCAGGCGAGGTCGCTCCTGCAACGTCCCCTGGATGAAGAGTGGTGTCGCTGGGGCTGAAGGCAGATCTGACCTCAGAGTCCAAGCCCCCAGCCTCCACCATAAAGGGGGAGGAGCTGAGATTAGGGGACTGGAGGGATCTGGCAGTTGGGGGTCCATGCAGATTATCTATCTGGGGTGTTGGGGTTAGGTTTGGCCTGGGGCAAATCAGGGGGATGGGGAGTACAGGGTGAGGGTAGGGTGCCAGGGATGAGGGCCAGGGTGGGTCAGGTGTTGGGTGGGAGACTGAGGTTGGGGTAGGGTCCAGGCTTGGAGCCAGGCTGGCTGCAGGGCTGGGGGCTCTGGGGCAAGAGCTGGGCCAGGGCAGGCCTGAGGCAAGCACTCACCTGTCGAAGCTTGGCCATGGCCTCACTGGGGATGATCTCATTGTGGTGCAGCCGGGTGACAAAGCAGAGCGCCTGGAACTGACTCTGCCCCTTCTCCAGTTCCCCCAGGATCAAGGCTCGGAAGATCTTCACATCCTGACGGGAAAGGGCAGGAGGATGGGGACAAGCTGGAGTGGGTGGGGCCCCCCTCCCAGCCCCCACCCAGGGCTCTGCTCAGGCCTCGGGACAGGACGCAGGCCTGGACCCTGCCCTGCAATGGACATTTCCCTCCCGCTGGTCTAAGAATTTTTATCTTTTCCATTTAAACCCATGACTTAAAAGAAAGCACACACCCCAGATGTTCCAAAAGCTCCTGGAAAATTCACATAGTGAACCACTAAAAAGCTTCTCAAAACAGAGCTGTTTATAAGTATAGAACTTCGCCTTAAAAGAAACAGCACTTTTTTGGGGTGCCTGGTTCATTCACAGCTGATGCGGCCCCTTGGTGGAACCACCCCTGGGGCACCCAGATCAGGGTGGGTCACAGGCGCTATAAACTACCTGACCAGGGCCTAATAGGGGAAGGGCTGAACTTCTTACAAGGATAGATTCCAGAGTTTCTCTCACAGACATTCTTATTCGGGAGGCCCAGAAATTGGTGCTCCTCAAAAATGCCTCAGTACTTCCGATCTGCCAGACTCCAGAGGGCACAGGACAGGGCTCAGGGCAGACGCAGCTCAGGCTGGCTACAGCTGTTGCCAACTTCTGGCCTGAGGGAGCTGGGATGGCTCACCTTTCTCCTCCCCTCCCCACTTCCCCTTTCCCCACCAGCTTACTAATGGCATTACCAGCAGGCCAATGGCTCCTTTCTGTTACTCACTCATTGCATGAATGGGGAAGACTGGAGGGGAGCAGAGGAAGAAGGGAGAGGGGGCCGTAGGGCAGGATGGGATCCCCCTCCCAATCTGGCTGCTGGAACCCTGTGCTCTGACCCACCTGCACTCAAGGTAACCCCTGCTCTCACCCAACTCTGTGCCTTGGCTAACTGCTCCCAGTGAGAAATCAGCAGGTCCCGGTCAAAAGGGGTCTAAATCTGCCAAGACCCCCCGGCCAGGGAGGCACCCTGGCCATAATGACCATGCCCCTCTAGAAACCCGACGGCCCTGCCTTGGCACTGAGCAGAGACAGCCCTGTGTAGCTATTCATCTTCCAATGTACATGCCCTGGCTTCGCCCACTAAGAGAGCCCGCATTCACGAAGGGCTTACTGAGCACCTGCTAGAGTACAAGTGCTCCGAAACAGGGGCTGAGGGCCTGCAAGGCAGTGAGGGGCAGCTGCACCCCAACTCTGCAACGTATAACCAAGCCCCAGACATATCTTCCAGCTTCTGTAAGCCTCACTTGTAAGACGGGGACACTGGGCCATTTATCCAGACCCCGACTCAATGCTCAGCAGGTGCTCGCTGTGGTGTATCTCCTCCCTGCAGGTGCTCGGAGCCAGTGAGTGCCACCCCCCGCCCCCGCCCCCTGCACTGGTGAAGTCCCTTGCCTCTACAAGGACTTTTCTCTTGCTTCCTTCTACTATAAATGATCTCTAGGACAAGGAGGTGTGGGCATGTATGGGAAGATTTCCCGTCTAATAGTGCAGAAATGGAAACCAAGGCCCAGCTGGTGAGAATGGCCCCATGAGGGTTTTGTTGATGCCAGACTCACGGGGAAGGTGAATCAGAGCTCGGGTGAACCCCAGCTTCCTCTCAACAGGAAATCCGTTCTTGGGCCATGAGGCTGGCATCTCCTCGCCCTGCCAGCCTGGGCCACCCGATCTTCCATTCGCTCGGGTCGGCTGAGGAGACACTGGAGGCTAGTCCACTAGTGTATTTTCCACTCGGGGCTCACTTCCTGCCACGTGAGACCTGACACCAGACTTCTCCTCTGAGGGCTTGAGTCAGCTGGGTGTCCCTGGCAGGACCCCGGGGCAGGAGCCAATGTCTACTTCCCGGGGATTTTCAGCAATGACTCTTCAAAAAAGAACCTTATCTAGAATAGTCACAGCGTCTTCTCCAAAACCCTGCGGTCTCTTTGCTCGGAGATATCACCTGCCCACCGTTAAGAGAAAGCTTTTGAACTCTTGGACCAGACCGGAGGATAAAAAACAACAACAACAACAACAAAAAAACACCTGTTCTGAGTCTTTCCCTGACTCTATTATATTAAACAACAATGTTGGCGACAACAGCAAAATGATACCAAAATGGGAATCTGATGGGGGCGAAGAGAGGGACTGAGGATTTCTCATTGAGAGAGAAGATTGACTTGGGGAGGGCAAAGATTTATTGAAGTTTATAACTGGAAGGGACAAGTCATTGTTATTATGAGTCAAAAAGGATGTATTGTCCTGTTTAAAATCTTTACAACAATAGGAGGTAGGGAGGATGATTATTACTTAGTTGGGAATGGGTTACTTGCTCAAGGTCATGGGACTAGGAGGAAATGTGGCTGGAATTTTAACCCCGGGCAGTCTGACTCCAAAGCCTGCGCTCTCTCAACCACAAGGCCCCCACTGCCTCCCAGATGTCCTTGATGCCTAGCTCAAGCAACCGAGAGGCAGGGTGGGCCGCCTTTGGCCACACAGCTGGCAAGTGGCAGGGCCAGGAACAGAATTCAGTTCCCTCTTCCAGCCATGCCTAGAAGTCCTGTGCAGACCTGCCCTGCGAGTGTGGCAGCTGACATTCACAGTTCTGCGTGACTAACAAGAACCAGCGTCTGACACAGATAGGAGGGTGACATGGGGCCGGGCCACCCTCCTACTCCACCTGCCTGCCTACCTGCCCAGAACCTCTGCGGACCCCTCGTTCTCCAGTCTTCCTGGTCCTGTTTCTCTAGAAAAACCACCTTCCACTTGCTGACCCCTGAAAGGGAGTGGGCACCCCTAGCTTCTGGATGAACTTGGCTCCATCATCCTGACCAGGGTCCCTCCTACCTTCTACTCTCTACACCTCCAACTAACTGCCAAGGTGCCAGGGGCCCCTTTCCGTCCAGCACAAAGGGCAGGGGGAGAGGTCTCCCTGCTTCGGCAAACATCTGGCCCGATGCTAGGCCCAGGCCAAAAGGAAGCCTGGCTCCCAAGCTTCCTCCTCGCCCAAGAGTGCCCTGGGATGAGTCACGTGGATGTGGCCTAATGCCCAAGGCAGATGGCACAGCTGGAGATGTCAGGGTGCTGGAGGCAGGTTTCTCAGGTCCAGGACTCAGGCTAGGACGCCCGAGATGGAAGTTTCTATAAGGCTCCTGCTCGCATGAGCTCCCGGGAACCTCCAGCCCACCGGGAGTGGGCCACCAGGAAGACGCGGAGCATCGGATACCAGGGCGGCCACCTGAGTGTCAGGGTGTGGCGCATGCGCCATGGAGATCGTGAGCAGTGGCTGAAGTCCTCTGTGGTTTTAAGTCAGGAGTAGGTAGGTTGCCGGACAGCACAGTGATTACAAGCTCGGGCTCTGGCGTCCGCACCACCCATGTTCAATGCTGGCTTTGCTGGTATTAGCCATGTAACCTCGGGGGAACTCACCTCCCTGTACCTTAGTTTCCACATCTGTTAAACGAGTTAAACTCACAATACCTACACCTCCGGGGATTATTGTAAGGAAAAAAGTCAGTGAAAGGTCTCAGAACAGAGTGGGCTGAGCCCTTTGTCTATTACTGTTGCAATCTCTGGCCTTGCTCCAACTGTGATCTACTGCAGACCTGTAGAAGCAGGAGCAAAGGCTGTTCTCCTCAAGATGCACCTGAGGCCCAGAGAGGTCGGGGGACTCCTCTGGGGCTTGTAGGGAATCAGCAAATCCATGGGAGAGCACTGATTAGCATTACCCGGGGCAGAGCCCTCACAGGCACCAGGCTGGGTGGGAAAATGGCCAAGACCAAGGCCGAGGCCCCTGTCTTCAAGGGGCTTCATGGAGATGCTGCCCCTCCTACAACAGTCAGTGCACCACGTAAGGCCTGGGGTGGAGGTTTATGGGGGACAAGTGCTATGGGGCAAAGGATGGATGAAGGGACATTTGTTGTCCCCTTAAGGATGGGACTGGGAGGCGGGGAAGGAGGGAAGACTTCTCCAGAGTGAGGGACATTTCAGGGGTCCCTGATAGTCAAAGGATAGGGGGTACCTTCTAGCAAAGAGAGTGAACTGAATTTACAGAAGACAGGGAAATGTGAGGCTCTCATGACATCCCCACCCAATCTGTCCCTCCACGTTGTCACTGATCTGCCTAATGCCATTCAGAAGCTCCTTTTGCCCTCGCCCTAAAGTGTACCCTCCCAAGGCTGGCATCCACTTCCACTGACAGCCCCTCTTGCACTCCCTGAGCACTGAACTAAAGAGCTGGCAATTCCCAGAATGAGCAGTTCCCAGCCTTGTGCCTGTCCCTGAGCTGATTCCTCTGCTGGACATGCCCTCTCTCCCTATGCCTACCATCTCTCAGGGCTCGGTTCACATGCATCCCCTCCTCTGGCCTGTCCTCCCAATGTTGCCCTCACCAACCCACCAGCAGATTCAGTCGGCCCCAGCTCCTGACCTCTACAGCACGAATCCCACTGTGTAACCACCTCTTGCCTTACCTTCCAGACTCAGCTCCGTGAGGCTGGGAAAGTAAGGATCTTATTTTTTTTTTTTTTAAGATTTTATTTATTTATTTGTCAGAGAGAGAGAGAGCACAAGCAGGGGTAGCGGCAGGCAGAGGGAGAAGCAGGCTCCCTGCTGAGGAAGAAGCCCGATACGGGACTCGATCCCAGTACCCTGGGATCATGACCTGAGCCGAAGGCAGATGCTTAACAGACTGAGCCACCCAGGCGTCCTCTGGGAAAGTATCTTGTTTGCAGTGACTCCCCACCCCCTAGAACACAGCAGGTGCTCAACAAGTGCCTGGTAAGGAGCACACAAACAAGAGCATGGAAGCATCCTGAGCAAACCACCTGGGACGGGGTGGGGCAAGGGAGGGCAGAGTGATCAAAGAAAGAGGCTGGTACGAGGGGCAGAGCAGCGGGCCTGAGTCCAGCCAAGGAGTCTGAGCTTCAGCTAGCAGATCCCCCGAAGTCACTGGACTCCCGTGGGTCCCGTGGGTGGGTTCTGAGCTGGATCCGAAACGTGAGTTGTGCTGGTCCAGTGTGCACCTGATTTAAATGCCTTCATAGAGGACCCCATCCTCATGTGGCATCTTCTGCCCCGGCAACAAGTCATCCAGGCCCCGCCTGAGATCTGCTCCTGGTTCAAGGGCAGAGACTAGACCCGACTTAGGCAGTAACCTCAGGGTCTGGCCCAGAGCCGGAACTCAACACTCAGTAGCTGAGTGAATGCCCGCCTGCATGTGCGCTCTGGGGCCTCTATCGGCTGCCTCGCCTCCAGCAAGAAGACTGGTAGTTCTACCACTGCTATTTTGGCTTTCAGCAGGTTCAGGGGATCATTTAGTTCATGACCCAGTGAGGTTCTGGCTGGGGAAGTGACCTTCACAAGTCAGGCGGCTGCAGAGCCAGGATCAGCAGCCCGGACCTCCTGACTCACAGTCCAGGGATCCTTATGCTCCTCCGGGCCCCCCCTCCCACCCCCGTCAGCCCCTGTCCACATATCTTCCTTCTCTGTGTTCACCCCCTGCCAGGCTGCACTTCTGAGATCCACTGCATCTCAGGGAGAGAAGTCTGTGCTGGCCCAGGCAGGCTGGGGCTCGGGGTGAACACCTAGGAGGACAGCGGACAGGTGCCTTGGGACAAGCAGGGGCCCAGCCCTCTGCCCTGGACCGACAGACATCTTGTGCCAGGCCCGGGTGCAGCCTGCCTGGCCAGAGGCCCCAGGGGAAGCTTACTGCTCGGAGGGGGAGCCACGCTGCACAGAGCCCCTGGAGTTCAGCGGGGTTGACCGTGGAGCCGGCACCCTGCCCTCCGCTGCCCACTTCCAGCCTCGCAGAAGATGCGGGCCGCCGCTGGGGTTTTATGTTACAGCCCAGCGCAATCTTAACTGCTCACCTGCTTTCCCCCATTCACAGGGCACACGTCTATCATCTTCCTGGCGCGCTTGCTGCTTCCCGAACAATCTCTTTCACACACAGCTGCTCCCGTCTCTCCCCGGCCCCCACGGTTGCTCATGGAGCACGCTGCCTCCCTCGGTGTCCCCCGTGGAGCCTCCACGTCACCCCTTTCTCCAAGCTTCACCCACTCCCTCATACACCCTCTCAGCCACGTCGAACAAGGTCCTCACACTGCTGTCCCACTCAGCCCCCTCCTCCCGAGAGCCCGCCTGCTCTCTCAGCCCAGCCCTCCAGCATGGGGTGCCCAAAACTAAGGGGGCCGGGGTGGGGAGCCGCCCCGCCCCTCACTGCCCTCTGGGACACCCAGGCGGGGGGCCTTCTCTAGGGTTCTCGCCGAGCACCACATCCCCCACTGCTCCCTGCTCCCGGACAGCCAGCACTGTCCCTGGGAATGTGCCCTGCCATCTTTGTCCCCTTCCTCTCCCAGCAAAAAGCGCATGATTCTGAGGCCCGGGCCGAGCCAATCTAAATATTTATCCCTCTGCTCCTGGCTGGAGCTGCTTCATGGCTAGAGAAGGGGCCAGGTTCGTGGGGCTGTGGTCATGAAGAGAGGCAGCCAGGAACCAGCACTCTCCTAACCCCATGCTGGCGGCCCCGTGGCAGACACGGGAGCACCTTGGCGACTCTGCCCAGTCCCCCTGAGCAGGAACAGGGGTGAACGGAGTCAACCCAAAGCCAGGCCAAGCCCATTCCCAGACCGGTGCCCTGGGACTTAGGCTGGCCCCATTAGGGGCACCTGTATACCCTCAGGGCTAGTCCTGGGACAAAAGCTTCTTGTTAAGGGGGTATTAGCGCAGCCACCAGCCATGAGCAGCGGCCCCCTGAGCCCCCAGTTCTGTCAGCCAAATTGCAAAGGTCACTACTGTTCCAACTGCCCCAGGGAACAATGTGAGGCTTTATGTGAATCAACTGCGCCCCACTGTCCCGCTGACTCAGGGCTCCTAGGATGGGCTCCCGACTTCTCTCTCACCCAGATCCCCAGCCCCAACGCCTCCCTTGCTCCCTGCCCTTTATTGGAATGCGCAAGTGGCTGCTGCTTAAACACTTGCCAACCTAAGGGATGGAAGCTCCTAATGATGCTCTGGCCCCTAGAGCGGAAATAAAGGTGCCAGAAGGATGTGCTTCCCGGCGAGGAAGGAGAGCTGGGGTGGGGTAGGGGGGGTTGGGCTGCCTGGGCCCTGGCTGGCACCGCTACTTGACTCCTCACGTGCCTCCGCTGGCCTCCGCTTGGCGACAGCCTCTTAGAATTCACCGCTCACCAGCCTGTGAGCATCATGCTACTGTCTCCGTCCTGCCTGTGCGGCGTCTGAGCCTGGGGCACAGAGAGGGTGAGCAGCCTGTCCAGGCGCACGGCTGGTAAAGGGCAGACAAACGTACACAGTGAGTACTCAGGGGTCTCTGTGAGATCTCTTACAAACCGCCCCCGCACCCCCACCTCTCCAGAGGAAGAGTCTCCGGCACAAAGCTCCCAAGGGGTCAATACTCACATCCACTGGGGGTTATGGGCTCGGGGGGAAGGGGTCCAGCCCAAGTCTGTACAGAGGATTCTGCATTAAGGTTTTCTGTCAAACTCCTTGCCTTTCCTCTCCTCTATTCCGGTTTCTTCAGTCTTCTGGAAGGAGCCTTCTTATGGTACGGCCCGCACAATCATGATACAGTGGAAGGATACCTGGATCCGAATCCTGGATCATTAGCTACTTGATCTTGTCAGAGTTACTTTGTAGCTCTGAGCCTCAGTTTGCATAGCTGCAAAACGGGGGCAACACCTGCCTCACGATGCAGCGGGGAGAATCGGATGAGGCTGCGCATCAAAGCAACCAACAGCATGTGACTTGAGTGACCTCTCAGTGCACGAGATCCGGGGATGTGCATTTCCCATCACAAGGCTGCACCCTGTCTTCCTGGGAACAGGAGTCTGTCCTGAGTTTTTCTACAACCATTACCGCTCCTGCTTCTCTGTAGCTTGGGCAGCCTGGTAGGGAAGAACCCCAGTCTGCCTCTCCCCATCTTACTTCTAGTAGCCACTCCTCTCTTGGTCCAAGGGGCAGTCTTCATTGCCTGATCCAGGATCTTTGGTTAGGACTCCCCCTGGACATTGGCATTGAAGGGTGGGAGATGCTTGCCAAACTCCAGGGAGCACATCTGCATCTTCAGGCAGGCCCAATGATCCCTGATCCATGGAGGAATTCCTCAGACATGGCAGAAGGACTGCTGTTAGATCCAAGGGCCCCACGGACATGAGCCAGGTCTTTCCATCCGGTGACTTCTCATAAACTCCTATGAGGAAATGCTCTGGACTCCAGAAATGTCTGGGCCTCTCCTGAAAGCATCTCTGTTGCCCTCTGTTCCCCAAGAAGACAACCCATCCATCACACGCCTGTGTTCCAAACTGCTACATTTCAGGGACCTCACAGAGACAGGGGAGGGGGAGACTGGTGTCTAAAAGCTTCTCCTGTCTGACCTCTGTGTGATGTGACAATCCTGTTATAATAAACAGCCTCCGGCACCCGGCGCGGTCATTTGCACATTCCACATCTTCCAGACGGCTTCCCACGCTGCTCCCCCACCCCAACCAGGAGCCCCCAAGGCAGGGACTCTGGCGCTCTCTGGACTGTTCCTTCCTCTGACTCCCACTCACCCACTGGTGCTTAGGCCAGGGCATGGAGGGCTCACGTTTCCACTCCTTCTGGGTCCTTCAGGGTGACCTTGGGCTGACCCACACCACCATATGGCTCCCCTTATCTTGGCTCCAGCTCACAGCCCCTCAGGATCCCTCCCGCCGCACTTCTGGAGTCTGTGGTTCCTTCCTCCCACCACCCCCCATTGTACCCACCACCCCGAAACAGTTGCACATGACTTTCCCCTATCTTTCAGCCCCACCCTAGCCATCCGGTCAGCACCAAACCACGCCGCCTGGAACATGACTCATCCCCTCCTCCAGCTTTTGGACATTCAGACTCGGGGTAAAGGGGAAAGAGAACTTGGACAGGGACACGAGCTTGGGGCGGGGGCGGGGACCAAGAGGGTTGATGGACAAAAAGCCAGCTTAGAGCCTGGGGGGTGGTGATGTGCCTGGTGTTAGATATGCCCAGTGAGTATGCACATACGGGTATAATTACACACACAGGGTCCGGATTATAAAGGAGAGTATTGCCTGTTGGGTGTGTATCATGAATTACAGTGTGTGTACTGAGGGCATGTGGAATTAGGCCTAACGCCGATCCGCTGCTTCAAACACATTAGGGTTATTGTGCGTAGAATGACAGGTTGCAAAGAGGTGAGTGAGTGTGGGCTCTACCTTCATTTAACAGCCTAACCTGGGCCCTCCTCCAAGTCCCCTCCCTGGAGCAGCCACGCCAGTGGTTCCCAAACTCACTGCCCACTGGAATCCCCGGGGCCTCTTTAAAAATACTGTTGCCCTCAGAGATCAGATTTCATTGCTGTGGAGGGAAGCCCAGGCATTGGGAGTTTCCAGAGCAATCCAGGTGATTCTAATGGGCATCAAAGTTTGGGAGCCCCTGAGCCATGGCACTTCTTTTTGAAACCTCAGCTCCGTCTGCCTGATGGTCAGCAGCCTTGGGACAGGGCGCGCAGTGACACATGACGGTGACTGATAGCTCCAAGCTACTTGCGGAGTTTATAATCCTTGCCTGGGCTCCGGGCTATGTGTCCTACAGCGAGCCGATTACTCTCAATACTCTTACTGCCTCACCGCCTACGGGTCCAGCGTGGCCATGTGGGGAGAGCCAGACGGTGCTAGAACCCT